TTCACTAAAAGCGAAGGATTGCTGGCTTTTGAGATTCATTCCAATTCTAACACCTGTATTAAATATCTACTTTCTGTTACTTTCCCCCAAATATTTAAGTCATGAAGTATTTATCACCACAGAAACTAAATTTTACTTTTATCCATGAGTTGCAAGCTTCAATGTCAATTAGATGCCACAAATTGCTACACCTTATTTACAGTGACTAAACTACAGTATGGTCCTTGCATTCTATACATAGTTTGACTGTTATTGGTCATACACATATTCTTTCCCAATGTATAGACTTAATTTGAGAAAATCAGGGTATAAATTTAACATCACACAAGTAGATAATTTTAAATACTTTGGTCAGAACCAAGAATATGGTACTTTATTTTCATCTTTCCTTTACTACCAAACAGGAAATCTCCTCAATTGAATGTATGCTAAGAAGAAAAAAATGCCATTATCCAAGGATAGAGCAAGTTTTATCAGGCATTTCAACATGGTGGAAGAGTAGTCAGGTTTTAATTGGCCCCTTTGAGCTCACCCACAAACTACAACATTCTTTACCTCAGCAGTGTGGTATTCAAAAGGGAAAAAACCTGCAATGTTGGTTTTCTTTGAAAACATTAAATGAATTGCGTTCAGTTTCATCCTGTTAACTGAATGTTAATTGATCAAAGTACACATATCAACACTAGAAAGATTTGTATGAGGGGGAAATAAAATAGATTCTAGAAATTACCTTACCTTAAACATTGTTTATTTAGCTAAAATAAAAATATGGACTCTATTTCTCAGCCCTTTCATCTACTGTGTTGAAAAACACTTTCTCCAGACAGTCCAAGGTCAGACAATTACCTTCTATAACCCTGTTCTTAACTAAATGATAAGCACCTCTGCAATCAAAATTCATGCCAGTTTGGGATTATTCAAGTTCAGCCCACAGGCACACATATTTTTAAAACTGCTAAGCAAAGCATTCTGAAATATTAGGCAAAAAAGCATGAAAAATAAGAAAAAGAATGAGAAAGTACAAAAAAGTGTTGTCTTAAAAATAGAGAATGCCAAAACAGGAAGGACTGATGACCTGGTTGTGGTTTGAGTAGTCCTTTAGAGATGCATAACTAGTAGTATTCTGCTTTCACTTGACCATGACTCTGACATTAAAAACTGAACCATAATTCAATTTTCTTAAAGCATGAAAGAAAATTTGAGAAGGTGAAATCATGCAGGTTTTACAGAAGATAGATCCATTTAGATCTTTGTTCTAGTTACTGTTATTCAAGCACTGAATAGTAAGAAGCTGGAAAAGATCTATATACAAATGCGGTTTTCCTTTTCCTTAACTAATAGTTCACTTATTAAATCACGTTCTTCAATGGAGCAAGGAGACTCCTGCGAATGGTCGGAAATAGAAAAACCATGGAGTCCTCTTTTGCCAATAATGGAAGAGGCCCCAAAATTGAGTTGCTTTTACCTTTCTTCAGATTTTTAGACTCTTGGTTTCTCTTGAAATACAGAAGGGTTGTCCCATATTCCTTCCACCCACTTATCTCCCTACTCAAGCTTCCTGCTTGAAAACCCTAGTTTTCTCTGTGCAAACCTGTCATTGGAAGGATAAACTCAAGACAAATGCCTACAAAGTTAGTTACTGTAATGCCAGGACCATCTGAAAAGTTAACTCTGTGGACCCAGACACCCAAGCATTTCTAGAAGAAGGAAAATTAACTATGAGCATTTTCTTGGCTCTGAGGATTCCTTGTCCTGTAGGAAGCTTAAAAAATTTAGGAGAATTGATGTGGGGAACTCTGAAGTAGGGCACTTTCATCCAAATCGATCCATGATTACATGAGGCAAAGGTACTAGCTTCTGTTACAGAAATGGTTAGTGGTAGTGCATTATTATTATTGCCACCACTTAACAGAAAATTCTACACAGTTACAAGTGAACTAAATGGAAGCCTAAAAAAGTGTTTAGAGTAACTTAAGAGCAACATTTCAATTTCCCCATGTTATTAAAAAATTTGACATGACCTTAAAATAATTATAAGTTTAAATTATCTTAGCAACTAAAGCAATTTAACCTTGATGAGACATAATGCTTGAAAATTTAAAGACTAATAGTTATTTTTAAGAGGTCAGCCCTATAGTCCACATCAGAAGCTTTTTAGAATCATCTGATCCAGGGATTTTTGTTGTTTTTCTTGCTGAGGATAAAAAGGGCCTTTAAAGGTTTAAAGAAAATCTTCTGTCACTATTTCACTCAAAACTCAACAAAATAAAACATAAAAGAAGGGGATGATTGCTATAAATGTACTAAATTTTCTATAAAATTTCTTTATCTTTATTTAAAATGTATATAAGATTTCTGTCACTCCACTGGATGTGTGTCTAATTTGCAATCATCTGCAAATCACAGAATAAGGAGGGAAGTGAAGGAGGGAAGACTATTTTCCTAATGATATTTGTTCAGCAACTCAAAAGAAAAGGAAATAATTTACCAAATGCAAATGACAATAAGTCCATTACAAATACCTAAAGAGTATACTATTTTTAAGTTGGCTCAAAGAATAATCTCCAATCAAAATGTCATATCCTCTCTAAAAATTGGGTTCAGGTTTAGACAAAGTAAATCAGACCAACCCACTATGGAAACCTGTGTAAAGATCACATGTGAAAAACCCCACACGAGCAAAGATGTTGTTAAGAGGCCAAACCAGGCCTTCTCAAAGGCTCTGTTGTTTGGTTCTGTGGTAGAAAATTCTTAGCAAACATAAATATCTAGAAGATAGTTAATTCCAGTTCCAGCTGGTCCTCGGACCCCAGTTCGAAAGTTCTCTTCGCTCACAAATTGTAACAAGATGGGAAATCAACTGAATTTTTCTCTGAGAGCTCACAGGAGTTTCCACCATGTTAACAAGGTTTAAAATTTTGTCAAGTTCCTTAGAAAGACCTTCTGAAAACATGAAGTCACTTGTCACTTTACCTCAAATGTTAAGAAAATTTTAAATTACTTGACAAAAATTTCAACAGGTCGGATATGTTACGGTACTTAGCCTTTTGCTTCATAAACCGAACTTGAATAAAATAGTAATTACTCTTTGTGGAATAGTACTTAATGGGGCCTAGAAAACATTACAGTGGTTCATTTTTAAAAAACCAATCCCCCTTTAAGTGAGTAACATTATTTCTAGGCCAGAAACACTATTTTTATTTATAAACACTCCTACATCAATGTTTTTTAAAAATGACATTTTAAAGTTTTGTTTTGCCATAAACATCTATTCATCTGTATTATATATGCCATAAAAACATCCTAAAAACAACTTGTAGTTAGGATATCATAACATTCTTGCCCAAAACAAGACTGTTGGGGTTTGATTTGGGTTTCCCCTTGAATTGGTGAGAAAGGAAATGGTTCACACCAGCTGTTTCATGTATGTAACTGCAACTGTGTTCTTACTTAAGCGGGGGCATGTTATCCTAAGCAAATCCTGAAGAAAATAAGGGGGAACAGAAAGACATAAACCAAAAACCATAAAGTGATAAATCTCTAAGACTCTAAGTGATGGCCCCCAAAACTTGGACATTTCTATTTATACTCTTGATTTAATTCTCACAAAAACTCTATGAAGCAATTTTATTATTATCATGCGTGATTTCTAGTGTGTCCTCAAACCTGGTAAACTACTTATAATTAGTAAGTAGTAGCAAGAGGGTTTGAACGCATACCATTCTGGCTCCAAATTCTGCAGTTTTCCTATCTTTCTGTTTTTGTGTGTGCACTTTGACACTTTAAAGGAAATATAAAGGTAGAGGCTGTACCTTACTTCTGGCGCAGCCCTGCTTATCTCTATGTATTAATGATTAACTTTCTCAGGCAACGGACAGGCACCCCAATCTTGACACTTCCCCATTTTTGCACTGCTGCTAAAAACTGATAATAGACGAGCTGTACACACCACAAAAACTTTGGGCTTTGAAAAAAGCCTGCCGTTATAAGCATTGAAAGTCATGCTCTATAAGCAAAGATGTAGCTATCCAAATAACCAAAGTTGATCTAACACTTATGCATGCCCATAAACAAAGAATGACAAAGAAAACGTAGAACCCTGGATTATATCTCTGCCACTCTATAGAGGAAGTATCCTAATGCTGTTTTGTTCCCTGGAGGTGCCTACCACAGCCTGCATCAGACCTGCTATGGCAGACTGGCTCACCCGCAAACTGAAAGCACTGCAGGACACCAATTTACTGAAGTTTAGCACTTCTCTGGGATCTACTGAAATAGGCCATAGCACAGGTTATAACACATTTAGTCTGCCTAAGGTCATCATAAAAAACTTGTAAATAACGCCTGGGAGGCATGTGCAATAGTATTATGTGGTGTTTTTTCTAATTCTTCACTTCTTAGATTCCCAGTGAAATTTCTGCCTAAAAGTTTTTTAGGCTTTAAAAAGGCTTATCTGTATTTAGTCTTCTAAAAAAAATCATAATTGTTAATGAAAGACTCCAATAAGCTGGTCTACTTGACTGAAAAATACACAAGTACCTTCCTCACATGCCCTTTAAGATTTATGAGCATTCGGTTGAGGTATATGGGCCTACCTATTCGGTGAGTTCAAAATAAAAGGCTTGGAAGTATAGGGTGTCAGCAGCTACTTTCCAAAGCAAATAGAATACTTACAGAGAATTATCCATCACCTGGAATGACCAGAGAGGAAACCGAGTTTTCTTTCGCTCAAAACAAAAGTAATCAGGGCTGGAGCAGTAGCACAGCCGGTAGGGTGTTTGCCTTGCATGCGGTCGACCCTGGGTTCAATTCCCAGCATCCCATATGGTCCCCTGAGCACCGCCAGGAGTAATTCCTGAGTGCATGAGCCAGGAGTGACCCCTGTGCATCAGGGGGTGTGACCCCAAAAAAGCAAAAAAAAAAACAACAAAAGTAATCAAATGCATTTTTATTTAACTTCTCGGCCATTCGCTGGTGGATTAAAGAGCAACAAACGTTGGTGGAGTTTCGTTAACACATTTGCTTTTTTATTTTTTAGAATATAGTCTACATCTGGATTAAAAAAAGTTTTTAAATAAAGTTAAGACATAACAATAGCGGAACCCTTCATCATTCTAGTACAACACGAAAAGAATGTCAGCTGGCTCCATTTGGGTAAGTCCACTTTCTCATAATAATGCTATTATTTTCACTGGCTAAGTGGCAAGCTTCGCACAGTGCCACTTTACGCTCACTGGGTGAGGGCATGGTGGCATAAAAGGGTTGGGTCAGGGTGCCACAGGACAACTATACAGTGTAACAGAAAATCATCAATAAAGTAGTACCGGTTACCGACAGACAGTGCAGTTTGTGCGCTTATCACAATGGAATTGCCTAAGTTTCAGAGCAAGGAGGAGATTCAACATATTTAAGACAGGGCCACTGTTACAAAAAGAAATAGTGCAAACAGGAAAACTGATGCAATCCTAGCAACGCTGCGGCCTCCACCAGCCCATTGGCAGGGCGGCAGGAGGCTTTGCGCCCCGCCTTCCTCTGCGCCCAGCTCTGGGCGGCGCTGAAATGAGGCAAACCGGCGCCGCGCCCTGGCAAGGGCCCCTTCTCCGGAAAGCCAGAAAAGAAACTCCAGGAAAGGCACAGGCTGAAGGCAGGGCTTCAGCCCAGTCCCATCCCTACCAATGCAGAACGTAGGCCTCTCCCTCCCTCATTGGGAGGTCCTTGAGCCCCTTTTCTCCTGCCATCACTTTCCTCTCCCCAAAGAGTCCCCCTCCTCCATGCAGCCTCTCTGCTTCCCCTGCACGTTCGCGGCTCCCCAACTTTGCAGTCCGTCCAGCGCGCCCTGCAGTCAGAAAGAAAATAGCTTTGAGAAAAGAGAGGGTGGGAGAAGGGGCTGGGGAGAGTGCAGGACAGCCGACGGCGTTCCCCCCCCTCAGTGACCCCAGTTGCCAAAGCCGATCTCCTGCTTGTATCTGTTAGTGAGGATGTTAGCTTTGCGTGTGAGTTTGGAGAGCACAGTGTGCAGCCCGCGCAGGTGGTAGTGGAATTGCTGTTCCAGGTCCTCCTCGCCGGCGTCCGCGCCCTCCAGGTGGCCTAGGTCCACCAGGATGTCCTTGGACTTCCAGGCGCTCCCTTCCTCGCTCCCCGCTGGTGGCGGCGGCGGCTGGTGCAGCACCCCCCACTCGATGTCGTTGCGGATGGACTTGAGCAGCATGTAGTGGCTATACATGTCCCGGGAGGGCGCGAAAAAACTGCCATTGGCACTGCCCGGGCCGGGGGCCGAGGGCGCGCGCTCCTCCAGGCAGCCGGCACTGCCGCCTACCTCCACGCCGACCTCGTTGTCCAGCCCGGGCTCGGCCAGGGGCACGTCGCGCAGCAGGCTGGGCACCATCACCGTCTGGTCCATGTTGTTGACGGCGCCGATGAAGCGGTTCATGGCGTTGAAGAGCGAGTGCTTCTGGTTGTAGGTGTCGCAGATTTGCATCATGGTGGCCGCGCGCGAGCGCCGAAGCACAGGGACGCGGGGGCAACAGGGAGGGCCGGCCGACGCGAACGGGTGCCCGCCTTCACGAGCAGAGTGAGGCCGGCGCCCGGGGCCTAGGCTCCTGCCGGTGCGGCGACTTCCCGGCTGCTCCTCCGCCCAGTCGGCTCGCTCGCAGTCCGGCCCTGCAGGATGCGCGGCTTCTCCTGCCTCGGGCGGTCCGGAAGCTCACGATCAGGGCGCGTGGTCCGGGGGTCGAGCCCTGGGCCTGCTGGGGAGACACAGGAAAGAGACGCGATATTTACCGGGTTAGGGCGCCCGGCTCCCCCGCCCGCCCGCGCGCACCTCCTTCCCCCCGCTACTGTTCGCCTGGGACGGCGCCCTGCTGACTCCCCGAACCCAGGCGGTCCCGCCTCCTTCGCCGCCCAGGGCCTCGGAGAGAAGGGGGTGCTCCTCCACCCCACCCACTACCCAGGCTCCTTGCAAAAAAGCCTGAGACCAAGCACCCGCGCTGCCCTGAGCCGAGATGGGGAGGGGGACGCACCTCCTCTTACGCCTTGGCTGGCTCAGAGGTCCCGGGGCTGGCGGCGGCTGCCTGCGCGTGCTGCTGTGGTCAGTGGCCGGACGGTGACTGCGGACGTCAGGAGTGGCGTAGGCCCCCTACCCATCCCAGGTGCTCAATTTATAGAAGCCCGGAAAGGTGTCGCCGGCTCTCTGGGCCACCCCCGAAGTCTCCTCCTCCCGCCTCCCAGGTCGCGCAGAGATAAAAGGCCCCAGCCGAGCCGGGATGACCGCGAGTAACACTCCCCAAGCCCTTTCTAAGGCGGGGGCGGGGCGCGCCGGGCCAGCTCCGCCTCTCGCCTGATACCCGGGCGGAGGGAGGGCGCTGGGGCAGGGCAGGGCAGGGCAGGGCAGAAGGATGGAGCAGCCGCACCCCGCCAGTGCTGAGCGCAGAGCTGGCCAGCCGGGGGAGGGCCGGGCACTGAGCGAGTAAAGCCGGCGCCAGCATATGGACTAGCTAGAAGGCAGGCTGGCGGGTGGGGGCTGGGTGGGCCTTGCGCACATTCCCCGGATGGGAAAGACCAGCATGAGCACTTCCAGTTTGCCAAGTGACTCCCCCACCCTCGCATTGTAGAGATCGAGGCCCGGAAGCTACATTCCTAGTTTATTATTAGCCGTCGTGGAAGAGGGACCAGCAGCAACAACAACTCCATTCCGGGTCTCTTACGTAAGGAAAGCGGCTGGGCATGCCAGACGCACGTGGACGTGGGGTGCTCGGGTGGTGGTGACCCAGGGCATAAAACCTGCTGCTTGGGAGAGGGAAGCCTCAGAGGCTTTTGCCTCCCTCCAGACAAATTCTTGCCCAATCTTCACAGTGACAATTGCTGTCTGAATGAAGAACGACCCACCCACGAAGCTGCAAGATATTTTCTTAAAGATTAAATGTGTCTGTGGTTCCAGATTTATGTCCAAATTCCGCTATTCAGTTGCTGGAGGGCCCAGGTTGTGTGGCTTTGTGGACTGCTACCGGGCCAGGAGTGTGTGCCGGGTACTTAGGTTGGTGGTGGAGGTCTTTCCTCACTGAACAGAAAACTGGGGCCTTGCCAATAACTGGGGGGTGGAGGTTGAACTATTGCTTTCCAAAAGACAGTTCTTAAAGCGCAAGATCATTTAATAGAGTCTGGGTTACGTCCCAAAAGTTAATCGGTGGATTTAACTTTTAAGAGCATTGCACCATATGGGCTGGAAAGATATTACCCTGGGTAAGGCGCTTGCCTTGAACTGGCACCCCATATGGTCTCTGGGCTCAGAAGCAGAAGCAAGCACAGAAATGTGTGTCCCCCCAAATAAAAGGAGCATTGCACCTTAAATTTCACCTTGGGACTACTAAGCCACAATCTGTTTTCATTTTTGTTTTCCTGTTCCATCTTTCCTCTCTGTGCCCCTCATCCTTCAGTCTTCTCCGGCAGTTCGGCAACTTATTATACACAAGACTTGAGTTTCTAGTCGTAAATCACTTTTCTCTAGAACCCTTCGAGCAGCTTTTAGGATGGTGCCTTTGCACAGTTTAAAAAGTGCACAAAAGAAGGATAACGCCCATTTTCATAAAATAATTATTTATTCCCTCTTTCCTTCACCTTAATAATTTATATATGCATTCCTTTCCAGGAGCACATCATCTTCCTCACTGTCAATTTTTTGTTTTTATCTTTGAGTCACACCATGCAGAGCTTAGGGCTTACTCCTGGCTCTGAACTCAGGGATCACTCCTGGTGGGGCACACTCCTGGTGAGACTGGGGGACCATATGGCGTTTCAGGGATGAAACCCAGGTGGGTCATGTGCAAGGCAAGCACCCTACCAGTCACACTATCTCTCCAACCTGTCCCCCCTATTGTCTTTTAAGTGAGAATATGATTTGATGCAACAAAAACTGACTCATTGACCAAAGATCCCAAGGCGGTGAGTCCTGGAAGCAGCTCAGTCTAAGTCCCTTTCTCACCCAGGGCTAATATCAGTTCCAGATCTTAGCCCATGTTTGTTTCTTTTTGTAATCCATAAAGCTGGGATAATGCCATCTGTACAATCTACCTAAATGGTCCTCATAGGAGGTCCAAGGGAAAGAAAAATGTGGAACATAAAGTATTAAAATTATCTCACACTCCTTGCAAGTACAGTGATTTAGAAACTTTCTCCATGTGTTTCCTTATCCATAAAATGGAACTTCTCCCTCCCATGGTCTGTGTCTAAGTTTCGTTAGGGTTGAATAAGATAATGGATGTAAAAATTGACCTGCGAAGCACTTTGCAAAGAGTAAATCTACTTAAGGTGAGACCTCATCAGAGTCTACAGGCACTTATATGAGTCGGAAACAGTTAAATGTAGTAGTGGGCTATGTGAGTCGCTATCCTCTCCCCACCCAATTCTCAGGTCCAATCGGGTACAAAGAGCATTGCAAGACCAAGATGGCTCAGAGGGCTGGCATAATGCCAGGAACTGTATGATCCCCCAGCATTCCCAGCGAGTGACACGGGAACACAGAGACAACCCCTCATCCCCACCCCGCAAAACCAAAGACTGGAAGAGTTAAACTCATGAAAAATACATAGCCAGTTTCCAGTAGGCGACTCTCCCATAAATGAAAACAATTTATCTTCTATTACAGACTCTTTAGACCTCTGGGTCAAAACTTGGCATTCAGATTTGAGTTGTTAAATACCGGCCTCCTGTCTCCTTTTCTCTTCATCCCACGTTAAGTAAAAAGTTGATAATTCGCACACACTGGAAATCCAAGTGACCTAGCAAAAAAGATCCCAGGAGGAAAAATAATAATAAAAATAAAAACAGCCTGGGAGAGAGCCCCTAAGGCCTTCTTTTTAGTCTGCCCTTTCCCTCATCTCTTTCCTCCCTCCAGATCACTCTTCATCTCCCCATATCTTAACTTGAGTCCCAGCTATTTCCCATTGCTTAAATACTGTAAGAAAAGGATGGCTCATGCACCTGCCTGTGAAACTTCCCAAACCGGGCCTCCTCGGCTCCCAAGGGCTAGCGCAATAAAGCACGCCCACCGGGGTAACTAGTGAACGCAACTTCCCGGGGCCAGATCTCCGGGCCCTTGAAATCACCCCACAGCCGCCCCTCTGTCTTCAACCAATCAGATGCGCTCAGAGAATGTTATGCAAATGACCTTCGCGCCCCAGCCAGTGAGGAGACAAGGCTCTCTCCCCTCCTCTGCGTCCTCTTTCACCCCAGCCGCGCGGATTTGGCGGCAGCGTCCCCAGCAACCGGCCAGCAGCCAATTTCTTCCCCACACGTGACAGAAGAAAAAAATCGGCTCCCTGGGGTCACTTAGGAGGGGTGTGGTCAGAGACTCACAAACGCTAGAGTTGCCCTGGGCATTTTCTCAGTCAGGGTCTGAAATCAGTTAGGATGCGAGGGATCAGCCTGCCCAATCCTCACTTGGCTTCCACAAAACTGGAATTCATCCATTTAGCAAAGGACTTTTGAGTACTTGGCCCGAAGTTTCAAGGCCAAGCGCTTGTGCTCTCTGCTTTCTCCTCAAGACACTCAATTTTTAATAAAAGCCGTGTCTTGGATCTGGTGCTCACTCCATTTCTATTGATCCATGGCTCTAACTCTGGAGCTCTTAAATTCCAGTTCTTAATTCCTTCTCGGCAATTAGGATATTATGCGTTGCTGGCCCATTTCCCCCCAAATGTCCACAAATTACCCCCTCAATTGTGTCCCTTGAGTAGTTTGGAAAAGAGGACATTTTAAATAACCAGAAATCCCTAAAGAAACAGAGCGAGAATAAACTAGGCAGGGTCAAAGAGAGAGAAAGAGAGCCCCAAAAAACCAAGCACACATTATGCATGCAGTATGCCCTGGGTTTGATGCCAGCACCCCAAGGTCACCCCAGAGGACAGAGCTAGGAGCAATCCCTGAGCACTGCCAGGTGTACTCCTCCCCCACCAAATAAATAGATAGTGGAGGTTCTCCATTACTTTGAAGCAGAACTGAGGAGCCACTTCATGAGAAATATTCTAGAAATGGGATAGCCAGACTGTTATGTTAAAGGTCATGTACCTCAAACTTGTGCTGGATGACTCACAACATCTGTCCTAATTGTCGACCTAGCCCACATTCTTGTCATTTTCTTTGAGTTCCTCCATGCTTTAACAGTTCAGGAGATCCTGAAGCACAACTTAGGATGTTTGAAGGTAGATAAGGGCTCCCTTGAATCCATTCACAATTCTTCTAGTCAGCCTTTGCTAGTTCCTGCAGCAGTTCTTCATGTGCTCCTCTGGGCCCTTCATTGATCCTGCAAACGTTGTTGGGACATTGCTCCAGGTTGGGCTGGAGCAATAGCACAGTGGGTAGGGTGTTTGCCATCCACGCGGCCGGCCCAGCCGACCCAGGTTTGATTCCTCCGCCCCTCTTGGAGAGCCCGGCAAGCTACCGAGAGAATCTCGCCCACACGGCAAAGCCTGGCAAGCTACCCGTGACATATTCGATATGCCAAACACAGTAACAATAAATCTCACAATGGAGACGTTACTGGGCCCACTCGAGCAAACTGATGAACAAAGGGAGTACAGTGCTACAGTGCTTTGGCAAGCTACCCATGACATATTCGATATGCCAAACACAGTAACAACAAATCTCACAATGGAGCCGTTACTGGGCATGCTCGAGCAAATCGATGAACAACGGGAGTACAGTGCTCCAGTGCTTCAGGTTACTTGCAGGTGGAGTACCTGGAACTCAAGGA